ACAGCCCTAGACAGGCATGGGTGATTGGTGTAGGGACAGGCATCTGGCTGCAGCAGGGGGACACACTCTGAGCAATGCAGGGGGCTGACAGCCGCCCCTTAGTGTCCTGGAGGAAGGCGTGTCCCTGTTCTCTAGAGCAGGTAGGTGGGTGGGTTTTGCAGCCGGACTATGAGCACCTAATGCTTTTGGCTGTAAGGACTTGGGGGCACCTCTTATTCATGGGCCCCTATTGTAGGTGGCTAGGTGGCGTGAGTGGAGCCACCAGTCCTCAGGCCCTTGATGTGGGTAGGTGAAGACCCTGCTTAATGGGCGGAGCAGTGTCAAATGTCAAGAACCTGCCACTTCGCAGCTGAAACAGCTGAAGTTAGTTCTGGTATATACCCTGTTGTACTGTGGTAATGAGGGCCTACGCTGTTAAGATGGGCCCACGCAAGTCTATGCAGGGGGAGAGGCACTCAGAATCCGTGGATCCCCTACGCCTGTGCCTAGGCAAAGGAGCTGTGCCTACCCTGGGTTCCTGACTTAGGGGAGCCGGCAGTTTATTTTTTCCTCTGTTTGTTAATTTGTTCACACTCCAAGGCAGGGAGAATGGCTCTGGGTGTATGACAGATCCTACTTCCAGCCGAGGGGACTCGGCAATTGCTGAAGCTGGTCCAGGCCCCAGGGCAGAAAAGGGAGCCGGGAGATAAGTGGGAGAGAGTTTTTTCCCTAAGGGGGGTGTTTTCGATCTGTGTGGTAAGCCGTATGCAACTACTTATCTTTCGCTGATGAGGGCTGCTTCTCACTGGTTCTGGGTGGCTGTGTAGACTCTCTGGCGCCAGGTCTCTCCCGGTGCGGAAAAAGTGCCTCGCTAGCATCGCCGCTTGCCTGCCTCACAGCTCACCAATGAGCTGCTCAGGCCTGAAGGGCTCAGGCTCTTGCTGGGTCAGGTCTGGCACCTCCTCACTGCTTCCAAACCATCTCTCCCTCCCCCTGCCACTCAGTCGGGTTCCTCAACTCTGACTTTGATGTTCAGGGCTCCCAGATTGCCATATATAATCGAATCACTTGTTTTTTCTGGTCTTTGTTGTAAGAGGGTCCACCGGCAGCATCTGACTACTCTACCGTCTTGGCCCCGCCTCTCCATCGTTTATTTGTTAATCAGTAAATAATTATGTATACGAAGCCTAAACATTTAGACAATCAAGACTACATTAGTAATCCACACACATGCAGAGAGGGGGCCATTTGCACGTGGGGCTGAATGTTTCATTAACAGCATAATCACTGCATAGAAGGATATACCCTATATGTTCATAATCCCATACGTACTCTTTCAAAAGGATGAATTCTGCCTTGTTCTAGTTGAAGTATCATAAATCCCAAATTAATAAAGCTATACTGAATTTGAGTCCCTGGGGGGTGCAGTTAATGCCTTGGCTGCTAACTGAAAGGTTGGAGTACGTGTCCACTCAGAGGCACCTCAGAAGAAAGGCCTGGCAATCTACTTAGAACAATCAGCCATTGACAACCCTATGGAGCACAGCTCTCCTTCGACACACATGGGGGCGCCATGAGTCAGAGTCCTCTCTACGGTACTGGTGGTGTAGCTGAGAACAGATCTTTGGCTCAAGTACTGATACCTTCAGTCATTTTTTTCCCGACTTGCCTACGTACACATGGGTAAGTAGCGTGTGTGTGGGGGGATGAGTTGTTTTTGTGAAGTTAATCTATAATAACTGGCACACAAAATTGCTGTATACAGTCATCCCTCAGCTCTACTCTAAACCCAGAGTTCAGCAGGTCTTCATGTCCTCATCGGAGTATGTAAAACTGTCCCACTGTAACAAAAGACAAACTCTGAGACTTTAAATTGAAACCCGTTTCCGCTAAAAAAAAAAAAAAACCCGTTGCCACTGAGTTGATTCCAACTCCTAGCGACCCTGAGGGACAGAGTAGAAATGCCCCATGGGGTTTCCAAGGAGCGGCTGGTGGATTCAAACTGCCGACCTTTTGGTTAGCAGCCATAGCGCTTAACCACTGCGCCTTCCACTAAAGGCTTGGTTATTAACACTATTTTGCTGAAGACGCGCTTTGAGTGCCTTCCAACCTGAGGGGCTCTCCTTCCGGCACTGTATCAGACAATGTCCCGCTGCTATTCATAAGGTTTTCACTGGCTAATTCTTTTCAGAAGTAGACAGCCAGGTCCTTCTTTCTAATCTCAGTCTGGAAGCTCAGCTGAAACCTGTCCACCATGAGTGACCCTGCTGGTATTTGAATACTGGTGGCACAGCTTCCAGCATCACAGCAATGTGCAAGCTCCCACGGCAGGACCAATTGACAGATGTGTGGGGAGAAGACTCATATTTAAATAGCAATCAAGAATTCAATCTACACAGATGTGGGGGCTTTTTGAGAATGGGAAAGTTCTATTTCGATATCAGAATGGTAATGACAGGGCCTATATCTAAGTAAAGAGCTCTCGAGCTTACAATTACGAAATGTGCACGGTGCTTGATCTGAGTTACGCTGCAACAAGAAAATATTAGTTTCACCACCTTTCCCCACCCACTGGGGGCTGGGGGACCCCTGAGCTGTCAGGAGTGAGTGGTCCACCAGCCTGTGTGGCCCCTGGCAACTGAGACCCCTCCCTGGGTCCCCATGGGGGACCCCCTCACTCCCTCTCACCTGCCAAACATTCTACCTGTTATTCCTGCGGGTTTGTTGCCCAAATTTCGACAACCCCTGCCAACCTCTAGCAAATCAACCCAGCACCCCCGGCCCCTGCACCCCCACACATCTGTCAGTTGGTCCTGCCGTGGGAGCTTGCACATTGCTGTGATGCTGGAAGCTGTGCCACCAGTATTCAAATACCAGCAGGGTCACTCATGGTGGACAGGTTTCAGCTGAGCTTCCAGACTGAGATTAGAAAGAAGGACCTGGCTGTCTACTTCTGAAAAGAATTAGCCAGTGAAAACCTTATGAATAGCAGTGGGACATTGTCTGATATAGTGCCGGAAGGAGAGCCCCTCAGGTTGGAAGGCACTCAAAGCGCGTCTTCAGCAAAATAGTGTTAATAACCAAGCCTTTAGTGGAAGGCCCAGTGGTTAAGAGCTATGGCTGCTAACCAAAAGGTCGGCAGTTTGAATCCACCAGCCGCTCCTTGGAAACCCCATGGAGCAGTTCTACTCTTTGCTGTACTTCCTTCCAGAACTTGCCTCTGCATCAATTTTCACACATGTGAGCCCATAGAAAATGCCCAGGACTGATGTTTTCTGAGTCTTTCTGTTCCCATAAAGGGGCTCACACTACACTGGGTGTTTCCTCCAGCAAACTGGTTTTCCTCCCAATGCTGAGTGCAGACCTGGGAACCTGGTTCCCTCTGGGCCTTTTGTAGAAAAGCCTCCCACCCTGGGCTGCAGGAAAACGCTGCGGATTCCCGGCATCCTCCTGATACTCCAAAACAAAACCCTCTGCCATCAAGTTGATTCTGACTCATAGTGACCCTATAGGGCAGAGTAGAGCTGCCCCATAGGATTTCCAAGGCTGTAAATCTTTACAGAAGCAGACTGCCACATCTTTCTCCCGCAAGGCGACTGGTGGGTTCCAACCGCTGACCTTTGGGTTAGCTGCCAAGAGCTTAACCACTGCACCACCGGGGCTCCTGCTCCCTGAAATTCATCCATATACATTTCCCAGGATTCATCTCAGGCTTTTTGAATTGGTATGCCACCACCAGGTGGCGGCAGAGTAAAGTAATAAGAAAGGAGCTGCCTTCCAAATCAAGGTGTGTCCTGCCAGCATGAGTGCCTCATTCCGGTCGACCCTTGCACTCACCACAGCTGGCTGATGACCCCTGACTCTTCTCTGCCTCAAGCCTCCCCTCTGGGCTCACTCCCACTTGTCAGTTTATTTCTCATGCAGCAGCTAGGGGGCGCCACTCCCACTTACCCCGCCAGAGGCTCCCTATCCCAGGAGTAATAAAATCCACCTTGTCACCATGGCCCAAGTAGCCTTATGGAGTCTGACCCCGTCACCTCCCCACACACCTCGCTGTTCCTCACAAGCCGTGCCTCTGCCTGGCAGGCCCTTCTCTTGACATTCAGCTCAGGCATTGTCGCCTCCTCCAGGAAGCCTCCCTAATAGCCGTTCCACCCGCCTCCAGCTGGGTCAGGAGCCCTGCAGGCCTCAGGCGCTCCGCATCACAGCCCTGACCACGCCATGTTAAAACGCCCTCAGCCCCGTGGGCCAGTCCTGGAGATGGTTGGGAGCACCACTTTCCAGAGGGAAAGCTGAAGTCCAGAGAAGGGCAGCAACTTGCCCAGAGACACACTGGTGGGCTGGGTTAGACCTCCATCTGAGGTAGGTTAGAACCCACTGCGCTGATCAGGCCCCCAGGCCCCTGCTCTGACCCCAGCGACTGGTGGGCTGGGTTAGACCTCCATCTGAGGTAGGTTAGAACCCACTGCTGTGACCGGGCCCCCAGGCCCCTGCTCTGACCCCAGCGACTGGTGGGCTGGGTTAGACCTACACCTGAGGTAGGTTAGAACCCACTGCTGTGACCGGGCCCCCAGGCCCCTGCTCTGACCCCAGCGACTGGTGGGCTGGGTTAGACCTACACCTGAGGTAGGTTAGAACCCACTGCTGTGACCGGGCCCCCATGTGTCTGCTCCGACCCCCATCCTGAGTTTGGGATTCAGGACTCAGACGCGGAGACTCTGGGCAGCCCCCTATTTCCACACATGGGAAGGACAGACAAGGAGACAGAAGAGAGGGTTTGACTTTTATTGACGTCACCGTGGGGTGAGGTGCTGGGCCCATCTGACCCTCAAGAGCCCCATTCATCCGGAGGGATGGTGTCTGGGACAGGCGGGGGGTGGTCGAAGAACTGTCTGTGGACATGATGTAGAGGAAGCAGCTTTCCAGAAAGATCTGTCCTGCCTCTGCCCGAAGTCCCCCCGTTACGGCTTGGGGTCCAGCCTCAGCGCCTGCCAGGCTGGGGGTCTGCAGGAGGCGGTGACTCAGGGGCTACCCTCGCCTCCACTCTGCATAGCCAGCACCGAGCGGATCCAGTTCACATAGAGGGAGACCCGGGCAAAAAAGTCAGGGTACTGGCGGGTGGCACATTCCCGGATCACAAAGGAGTCCACAGCCTGAAGGACGCCATCACAGATCAAGGGGCCTCCAGAGTCCCCCTGGGAAGGGTAGGGACGGTTAGTCACTCAGGCTGAGCCGAGGCGGGGAAAGGGGGCTGGGGGCCAAACACTGTTTTGGGGTGAAGCGTCTTAAGTCCAGAATTTTCTTTAAAACACCAGCCCCAGAGAGGGGCTGAGGCTGGTCTGGAGGAAAGCAGGTGTTTATTAGCTTCCTGCTGTATACCTGGACCATTGGATTCTTGGCTGGGCCCCCGGAATCATGCCTGGGCAGGTCACTTACACCTCCCTGTGGTTTGAGAGAGGGGTCCCGGGGGCCCCCAGACCAACCAGGGCTGCCGAGTCCACCCATGGCTCTGCCTGCCTTCCAGACGGGGAAACTGAGGCACCACCTGCAGCGGCCGGGTGAGGAGGGGGCATTCGAACCCCAGCCAGCTGCCCACCCTCCCCAGACAGTCCCTGGGGTCCTTCTGCTCCAGGGCAGCCCCTGCCCCTTGGGGAGTCCCTCCTGCCCCCCGACTGCGGTGCCCCATATGGGGGCCGAAGCGGGCACGTACGAAGCAGATGCCAGCTCTGCGGCGGGGAACGATCGTGCACACGTTGTGTGGCCGGCACAGGAAGGTGACCACAGTGACGTTGAGCTCTTGCAGGACTCGGGGCGTTGGCAGGTGGGTTCCCAGGCGGCCCCAGCCCATGGCCAGGCACTGTGTACCCTGGGGTAGCAGCTGATCCTGTCTCGGCAGCGGGGCCACCGCCACCTGGGCGTTGAGGATGGCTGGGCGGTCCAGCTAGGGCAGGTGGGCATGCAGTGAGACCTCACTCCCAGGTCCCAGAGCCCACCTGCCTCCATGCCGGTGCCTCCAAACTACGAGCCATTCCATCCCTCGGCCTTTGCACGGGATCCCTGTCTGGGCTCAGGCCTGCTCCCCCTCAGGTTCCTCTTCAGGGGCCACCTCCTCCTGGGAGCCTCCCGGGACTGACCCTCCTACCCTGGCCACTTTCCGAGCACCACAGGCCTCCTTGTTGCAACCTTTCTCACTATTTCATTCATTCATTTACAAAGCACTTATGGAGCACCAACTGTGTGCCCTGTTCTATACCCCGGGATCCAGCAGTGAATACACGGACAGAAACCTCTGCCCTGTGGAGCTGAGCTGGGCTGGGAGGAGCCCTGAGGGCCAGTCAGGAGATGGGGCTGCTTCCCGTTCCACGTGGGGTCGGGGAAGGCCTCTGTGAGAGACGGGAGGTTGGCGCAAAGACCCGGGGGAGGTGAGGGCGGCGCTGAGTGGGCCTTGGGGTCAGTGCACCGGGTGAGGGGCACGGCTGGGGCACAGGCTGGGCCAAGGGAAGATCCATTTGTGAGGTTATTGTTTTAATGGCTCCCCACTTCCCACCGCCAGAGATCCATGGAGACCGGGCTACGTCCCAGGGCTCTGCACAGGGCCTGATATACAGTAGGTGCTCAATAGATGCTGAATGAATGAAGGGATGATAAATGAGCGTCCTGTGGGCCCTGTTGGCTCCACCTCCAACATCCCAGTTCCCAA